ATAATTTGAGCCGAGGAGGTTTTGGAAAGGATAAACAAGGATTGCCAACTAAACAAAATATTTCACCAAACAAATTCCTGTTTTTAAAAATCAAATAATCCATCAGGACAATTTGATTTAAATCAAGTATTTAAAAATTATTATAATTAACTCAACATTCAAAATTAAAAAGATTTAGCAATAATAATTTTTAGTCAAATTGAAAAGATAACTTGGATAAAAAAGTGTTCAAATTTTATAAATGATAGTTAATTATTTTCAACATTGATTAGTAATGAGGAACAGAAAATATTATGTACAAGAATTGTAGGTGTTCAGAAACATTATTTTGTTTTTATAACATTTTTTGACAAAATTTTAAAATTAGTTTTCGGCCGTTGAACGCTCCGGCCTTCTTCAGGGAAATTGGAACGTCGAACTGACGTATTTTATTTCGCTCAAAAAATAGTAGACCTGTTCTAGTTCCACGTGCCATGTTTAATGGATGTCAGTTATTGTTATCTCCTGTTAATTTCCATCTGAATTTTTCTCCACTGCAACTTATATAGGATATTGAACTGAACACTCTTTGGGTCCTGTCACTGGAATCTAACTAACGAAAATCCACTGATCTTATCTTCATTTGGAAGAAGTCGGGATTACAACGGCCGAAACGTTGTAATTAATGTTTGTTTTTTTTTTTTTTTAAATTTATATTGATTTTGTAGAAAATAATCCATGAAATTCATTTTTTTGGTATCCATTTTCGTTGGAAACAAAGAAAAAGTACTGAAAAAACTTGATATTTTTATAATGGGCAGCGAATGATCTTGGAAATCTTAATTCCCCAAATATGAAGAAGAGATTAAAGTAACAAAATGTGTTTTCTACAGAAGGATGCTGATTAAAGACCGAGCATGACAAAGTTTTGGAGATAATTGAAACAAAAAGGCAACATATAGAAAACATCAGGAAGAGATGCAGTTGAAAACAAGGGAGTAATGAGGAAATTTTTTCGAAAATCTGATACTCACAGGATCAGATAAAGGGGAAAAGGACATTTTTTAAAAAAAAACGTGACATACTTGATTTTTTATGGTAAATGATTGGCAAAACAGAGTTTGGAAGAAAAACAAAGACAAAATTTATTAACATACAAGAGACAGAAAGATGTGGAGGGCCAAATGATCGCCTTTTTTTGAAAAGTTGGGATTGCCACACAGTCACACGCCACATCGTCATCATCGTGTTGTTTACGTATTTTCAGTTCACTGATGGATAAATAGCAGGACAGAGTACCCAATATAGTTTTTCTGGATGGCAACTGGTTTTAAGAATAAAGAAATGGCATTTTACTGCGGAAAAAATCAAATAAATTTGTCATGTATCTTTCGATACATGAAAATTAATTTTTTAATTTCACGCAAATTTTTGACAAATTTTGCTGTTCATTATACAATATTCTTTAGTTGTATAGCAATGACCCTTAACATGAGTAATTGAAAAATATAACTATAATAAATATAAAATTAAAAGGAAATTGCTAAAAAAAGAAACCGAGTCAACTATCCCGGCAGTCTCCCTTGGCGTGGAATGTGTCTACTGTTTCTTTGTCTCTTGGAAACACTCCGCCTACCGGTAAACGACAGTTCGCGTACCGGCAGCGGTAAACGTACCACATTTTAAGTAGCACTACTCTAGAGAATGAATCCTTGATCACACTCATGCAACTACCTCATTCGGTAAACGTCTAACTTCACTGGCTCTTGGGCCTTCTATTGGATGATTAAAAAAAAAGAAGGATATTTCTGTTATCTGAAACTAAGATATGGAAATCAGTGATGTAATCGAATTTCTCTATTTATTCAATCGATCTAGCCTCGCCTTTCGTCTCTGATTTTAGTTTCGATTTTATAAGATATTGAGTCTTTTTTTATAAATTGGCGTAAAAGGAATCTTTGCTTTGATTTGGATTCCAAAAATTTTACGAAAGTAGCATTGTTTTATCCCTTTCGCTCGACAACTGAGATCCCAGCTAAAACCTGAATTTCTGCGCATGTACAAAGAATAGATTTTTGTTATTGTTGCTGCAGGGAAACGTCTTTCAAAGCAGGATTAAAAGAAAAATAAGGAAAAATTTAAAAAACAATGAATTTTTTTTTCCATATTTGAAATGGCAGTTTCTGAAGGAATCGAGATTGGAAGGAGAAAAAATTTTTTTTTTTTTACTGATATTCTCTCACACAACACTAACTCCGCAAAATCCAATTAAGGATTACTTAAATGTATCACAGGTTGCATATAAAACGAATAAAAGTTTTAAAACTTTTTTTTAATAAGCTTTTGAGATTTAGGGAAGATTAAATTGATATCTGAGATTTTCATCTTTTTCTTATCTTTGCAATCCATTTTTCTATTCGTTATAGATTGAATAAATACCTATATCTAGAGTTAGAGATACAGACATAGATAAAACATTCTACCTTGTCGGCCTTCAAGACTATTGGATGATACATACAAAAGCAACAATTACATAGGAGGAATGGGCTTAATATTTAACACAGTATACCAAGCAAATGTGAGTAGTTTATATTAGAATTGAATGAACACAAAAGCGAAGTTATTGCGATCATAAATCTTCTTTTTAAGAGGCTATGCAAAAAGCACCACACTGTCTAAATATGCATGGGACTCAAAAGGTCGTGACAGGAATACCTCCGTGATGAAATGGAGAAGGATACGCAATAGTTCGAGGTATGGAAGGGAGATGCTGCGTCTTCATGAAAAATGATATCAGATGAAAAGCTCCATTAATGGAAATTTATTTTAATTAAAGCGATAAAAGTAAAGAATAAAAGAAAAAATAACAAAAAAGAGGTAACCAAAAACTAGCATAACCGTAAAGTGGTAATATCGAAATAGACCAATCTTAACCAAAAAGCAGTTGTATCGGTTTATCGGTCTAAATCAAGGATCAGAAATGTGTACAGTGAGTAAAATGAACACCAATGACCAAATGTTATATAATATATATATAACAATGTTCCGCTTCAGTTAAGCGTTCGTCTCAAAAAATTATGCGTTCCTAAGAATTTACCAAATAAACGTATTTTGCAGTAATTAAAACTCTGAAGACACGGTCCTATTCATCAGCAGGTTTATTTAAATTCAAAAGCGTAAAACTAGAAAAATAGAAGTGAACTTGGTTTGGTTTGTTTTATTGCTGGTAATATTTTTTTTCCAAAAATCTATTTCTGGTAATATATTTTCCTTCAAAAATCTATATCTGGTAATAAACAAAAAATGTATAGCTGGTAATATGTTGTTTTTTTCAAAAATGTATTGCTGGTAATTTTTTTTTTTTTTTTTTTACAAATTATTTCTGGTATTAAAACCTATGTTTACACTTTCATAGTGTTTTGACCCCATTTTGGGGGTTAACTATTTGCCCATAGCTGGGACCCTAACAGGTACTACCACCCCGGGCCAGGGTGGACCTGGGAACACCAGCAATTGTGAGGTGGTTCCACGTTCCTCAAAACCTCCTGATCAGAGGCCTTGCTGTTGGACATTGTTTATTGTCTTACCCAGGACATGAATGTAGTTTATCGTCATACCCAAGACGGGACTGTTATGTAAAAGGGAATGTAGAATGTAGAAAAACTATAATGGCAACTATTTGTGTCAAATTGCATCCAAAAACATTATATGTTACCTAAAAGTAACAATAGAAAAGAAAGAGGAACTCTTATTACCAGTTTTGGGTAACACATTCAATCAGCTTCGATATACGGAACACGATCGTAACGAAGGATGAAAAAAATACTGCTACTGCCCTTGGCTAACTATTTTATATCTCTCTTCGAGCACATATGCAATTTTTGGTTCCCCTTCAATTAAATGGGGTCGACTGGAACTCATTTCAATAAATTTACTGATATTACTTCGTCACAAGATTACAGTTAAATTCCCCCACTTCTCCCCTACTACCGAGTTTCGCTAAGGTAAGTACACAAAATTTCTACAATATATTACAGTGTTGCACTATAAGTTCTCAGAAAGGTGAAAAGTTACAGTAAGTAACAGTTTGACAACAGTGTGTAAACAGTCAACACTTGGGGCAAGGCGTTCTTCATAAAGAAATACAACAGTAAAATAAACGTATAAAACATAAGAGAGACACATACTCGAAGAAAAAGACTACGAAGGTACATACCGGCGATGCTATCGTTTATTCAGAAGCAAGAGTAATAAGTAATCGCGTTCTTTCAGTTTACTGTGTCGGCTACCATTATAGCTAAGTTCAAAAAGGAAATAGTAAAAAACGGTGACTTATTTGAAATGTACCTAAACTAAAAAGAGGACAACTAAACAAGGAGGAAAACAATAGAGGTGTTGTAAAGAACAAACAAGCTAATCAGATTTAAGACTAAAACCACGACTTATTCTTGGCTGGTTGAACTTAATGCATTTAGACTCCAACACTATAAAAGGAAATTCAGAATTAGCCGTCCTCAGTATTGGGGATATGTTTTGGTTGTAAGACCTGGAACAATACTGGATTTTGTAACAACTGTTCAGCTATCGCCGAAGCAGTTGTATTCGCGCACCTATGCAAACTGTCAACATTACCCACGAGAATATTTAATATGTTCTACCTATATAGCCAGCGTCACACTTGGAATTGGTAAATTACTGAAATGGTATGATTGGGAGGTTAAATACCCTTTCGGATTGATCTCAACATTGGTCAAGCAAGAAGGATAATACCCAGATTGGCAAACAGATCGCAGTTCTTTGCATACTCCGAAATTTGTGTAAAAAAAAAAAACAGATTACTCTGCTAGTGAAAATTCTACAGTGGCTTCTGGCAACTTAATTGGAAAAGGCTGAAAAGTAATTTACCTAGCGGAAAAAGGGAGTAACGTTTTGATTCCCGCTGAGAAGCACATTTTTCTTAGTAAGACTTCTTAATCCCTAAGCCAGTTGACATTAATTTCGCTGTTTAGGAAAAAAAAGACAATTCTTAATCAATGCTGATGAAAGAAACAAACGACAAGTAAGGAAAGAAATTGTATTTGACAGATAGAAATTAATAAATCTCTAATGAAGGAAATGTTTACTCTTTTTCTTTATCTCGTAAAATTTTCTTAAAATACAGACGATAAAAGAAAAAAAAGCATAAGGAACGAAACTACTTCCAACAAATATAAATAAATCTTCTTCCAAAAAAGGTATTGTTTATTATATTTTGTTATATACCGTAACCTATGAACACTAATCGGTATGTCCCAATCTCCATAAATACGTTGGACACTATTGTAAGTGGAACTAATATGCTGTCTAAGTAGTCCACCGCTAGCAGTGGTTTACCTACTTCACGCCGCTGGCGAGTATTGTATTTTGTTGATGTTCTAATGATTACCATCTCATTTCCAACCTCCATTTTGGTTGGTTATTCCTCATTCAGTAACCCTTTCTAGGTTACAACATATCTATATCTCTGAGATGAGGTATAATGATTATTTACATTATTCGGACTGTTATCCTCATCTGCATTGCTATATTCACAACGTTTCGGCCGCTGTACGTCCCGGCTTTCTTCAAGTTCGAATAATGTAAATAATGTAAATAGCTATTGTTTAATCAATATTAATCCTTTAATCTTCGCCTAAAGACAATTCAAGATATCAGTTGACAGTTGCAAAAAGAGATGAAACATTAGAGTTTAATACTGAATGTTTCATTACTTTTTATTATTCTTTTTAACTTAAGTCGAAATGCAAATTTAATTACAAATTCAAATGCAAATTTATACATTCAATTGAAAATTTTCCTGTGAAATTTCTCTGATTTTTTTTTTTTTTGATTATTTTGCAAAATTAAACACCAATTTCAAAATGCAAATCAAATAAGCTTTTGTCTATATAATAAAAAAAATATCATTTTTTTTAAAATGTCGGATTGGCCTCCATATCCGGATATTATTTCATAGACAGAGTGTAAATTATCAAGCCAGTCAGTCAAGTAGAGCAAGCCTGATATTCATCACTCATTACAAACGCTAATTTATCAACTGAATGATTTGATTTCACACTTTTCTATTATCTTTGATCATATCTAAACGTAATTATCATTTTGATCTTGATAGATAGATTTTTAAATCAATCAAAAGAAATTCAGAATTAGTCGTCCTCAGTACTGTAAATTAATTATATTTTTGTTTTTATCTGTATAATTTATTTCATCTTATTATATTTCTATTTCTAAATATAAATATAAATTAATCCACTTCAAAAATAGGTATTGTTTAATCAATATTAATCCCTTAATCTTTGTCTAAAGACAATTCAAAATTTGAGTTGACAGTTACAGAAAGAGATGGAACATCTCTTTAAATACTGAATATTTCATTACTTTTTATTATTCTTTTCAACTTCGGTCAACTGTTCAGATGCAAATTTATAATTTTCATTAAAAATGTTCCTATTAATGCCAATGAAATTTATGAAAATTAATTGAATATTTGTATGCCACAATTACAAAGTCTTCAGTGAGTTTCAATTTTTCAATACATCTGTGGTCATTCTAGCAAAGAAGCTGATTGGTAAAATTTCATGACAGCGGCCATTTTAAAGAAACCTCATTTCCGGTGATTTGGGGTTTTGTAGAAGCGAGTAGTGATTTGGCAGGATTATACACAAGGCTACCTCTCTGTACTATGCCCATTCAGGACGTTGGTGGTTATGGCTCACCACACTTCCCTGTCCTTTCTAGCTCTTAATAAATTTTATATTTTTGTTTTATCTCCCAAAACTTGCTCTTCCATCAATTCACTCAAACTAGACAGGAAGATCATGCATTGATATCCTAATACTTTTTTTTTAATTTCAAATCTCCCGAATGAGTATAACATTCTTTTTTTTTTTTCATTATTAATTTAAATTTCAACTGTCTCTTCCTGATGTTAAGTATAAGTGTCCCTTTTCGTTGCCATTGTTTCTAGAACTTCATCATTGATCACATGTTCGGTCTATGGTATTCTAAGAATACAAGGTCTATATTTGCAAAGTAAATGATCTTCCTCCTTGACTGCATATGATTTGGCAAAAAACACATTTGCATAAACACACACATATAACAGACACAAACAAAACACATTTTAGAGAATATATATATAAATATATATATATATATGTGTGTGTTGTTTGTGTTTAGTTTTAGAAAAGTATAATAATACCTTATGGTTAAACCTAAGAAGGATATAATCCAGAGAGCTCAATGTAAATCCAGAGCAAATAATTTAAATAAAAACAGACCACTTTAAGATTCCATGTAATAAATTATTTCACTACAGTCCTTTTAAAAGGACTGCGGATCATCAGACTTTACTTCCAAAAAAAATGAAAAGAAAATTTACAACATTTTTTGACGGAAATGTATTAAACATATGTAAATTAACGAATTTGAGGAAGTGAGTGGGGAGAGAGAAGACATGGTTGAGTTAGCAGATATTGACACATTTAAACGGTTAACTTATTAAAAAAGAATAAACATATCGAAACAGAGAAGAAAAAACTCATAGAAAAAAAAAAAAGAGAAGGAAGTTAAGAGAGAAGAGAAAGAAGATGTCACTTATTTTCTTTAAAAAAAAAAGCAAGAAACAGACGCTGTTATATTTTACTTTGAAATTGTTATTAAAAATTGTGGTGAAAATAATTTATTACATAGATTTATAAAAGTGGTCTGTTTTTATTTGAATTATATATATATATATATATATATATATATATATATATATATATATATATATATATCCAATATATAATTGGCGTATACGGAATGAATTAGCTTTTGTAACAATGTTTTCAATTAAATGAAGGATTTAATTAATTTGAAACTTTTAAAACCATTTATTTTATATTCAACATCATCACTTGATCAGACACCGAGGGTGTTGAAACAAAATGGCTATTTTGTAGTGATTTTATAACATATTTATGTTATAATTTTTTTTTAATAAAAAATAATTATATATATATATATATATATATATATATATAGTCTTCAAAAGACAGACTGTTTGACTGTATCAATGTAGATAGAACCAAATTTTTAATTATGAGCCGTTATCCATTAACAAACAAACACATCCAACCTTAAAGCAAAAAATTAAAAAAAGCGCTCACCCATCTTGGTACAAATATAAAGGAGTTTGTTTAAAATTTAAACGGAATAAACAGTAAATAAGAGAGCACAAACATAATTGTCGTGCTTTTAAGCTAAAATTACGTAATCTGAAAGAAAGAAATAGCTTCCAGCTGGACTCAAACACTCACCCCGTTCTACAGAAGATACAGAGAGTTTTTGAACAACAATTAAAATCCACACTTCTTTAGTCAAAAGAAGTCACTCTGATTTTTTTTATGCCTCAACCTAATTCAATCGGCCTCGATTTGTTTATTTTATTTCGTCTTATTTTTCAATTAAACAGCATTGGCTGGAGTATTTTTATAGATAATAATTCTATTTAACAGAAAAAAAAAACAAAGTTGGAAAAGTCAGCGTACTTTAAGTTTCGCGTTGTTCTGCGATGATTTTCACAGATAAAATTTGATGTTAGAAGGATCTGACTCATACAGGCGAACTTATGGGATTGGGTACAGAAAATTTTAAAAATTAATCTCTCTAATCTCTATATATAATATATATATATATATATATATATATATATATATATATATATTTATCTGATGAATACTATATTGTATTCAAAAGCAGCACTTTAAAAACTTACATTTTTGATCAAAGAATGGTTTTTATCACACAAGCCCAAAAATTTATAACACATTCAACAAAAAAAAGCAGAAACTGTGGGCCTTTCTTCTATTTTTGTTTTGTCTTGTTTTGTGTATTTTACAGACCATCTTACTATGTCCGCTTATTTCTTTGTTTTTGTTGATTTTCTGAGTGGCTGTGATGGACTTATTAATGTACATTTTGTAATGCCTTTTGTTTTTTATCATCATTTCTCTTCGCTTTTTTATTGCTAGGTTGATGGTATTGTCTTGAACACGGGCCGAGATGTAACTCTGAACTTACTAGAATCAAAGTCCAATTGCATTACAATAAAAGATAAAATGAAAAATGGATAGAATTTATCGTGTGGCTCAGCTCAAGATACATTTTGGTACACTGGACTCAAGTGGATAACTGTCTCAAAATTAGCGGTCAATACTTTACAGCCCATGGAGGTTTAAGTCCCTTCGATTCTGAATAAATTTACATAAGAAAATATATATATATATATATATATATATATATATAAATAGATAGATAAATAGATAGATAGAATATACATTGACATAAAATATGCATATATATATATATATATATATATATTTAAAATATATATATATATATATATATATATATATATATAAGTCCAAATAATAGTTCACTGTGAAAGAAAAGAAATTTTGGTAGATAGATAGATAAATAGATAGATAAGATAGATAGATAGATAGGAATTTTTGAAGACAGTGATGCAGATAGATAGATAAATATGAAGAGACAGTGATGTAGATAGATAGATAGATAGACAAACAGACAGACAGATAGATAGATAGATAGATAGATAAATAGGAGATAGATAGAAACAGACTGAGATAGACAAGAGACAGATGAAAAAGATTTAAAATAGATAGATAGATAGATAGATAGATAGATAGATAGATAGATATATAGATAGAAGAGACATTATGAATAGAAAGAAGATAGATAGATGAAAGATAGATTGATTTGATAGATAGATAGATAGAAACAGACTGAGATAGATATATATAGAGAGAGAGATGAAGAGACAGATAGATAGATAGATAGATAGATAGATAGATAGATAGATAGATAGATAGATAAAAGTGTCGAGACAAAGAAGTGTAGATAGATATATAGAAAGGAGTGCAGATAAATATATAGGTAGAAGTTGAGATAGGAATGTGGTACTATCAATCAAAATAGACAGATTTTTTTTTTAGCTATTTAGATAGATAGATAGATAGATAGATACATAGATATTATTTTTGATTGCCTGATTCTTTTTCTACTGTTTATCAACCATTTGCAGGTTATTTAAAGCCAGAAAATATTTTTAGATTTAAAGAATTGTTTTTTTTTTTTAGATAATAATGATTTAGTGATCCAAGTCTGACTAATTACCTCATAACTGGGGAAGAACAGGTGGATTCACCTCTTTCCCAAGGGGTATATGTTTCATATATAACGAACTCATCTGGAATTGGGGTCGTCATCTTTGGGATTATCATGCGAACCACTGTTCTATGGAGAAGCTATTCTCGTCGCTACTAAGGACAGTTGAGACTTACACAAGGCTAAGTATGGGAAAAGTTACAGTCGAAATAATCTATTTGACAATCTTGGTATCCAATACTAGCATATGACTACAAGAATAGATCATCTCGTACAGTGACAAGTGACTGAAGGATCTTGTGTAAATGTTGGCAGGATAGGGATTAGGAGAGATGGCAAAAAGACAAATTTAAGTAAGAGCCAGAATGAACATATAGTTGCGAATAAAAGCCATGATTAATGTCCTAAAGGGACATCCAATATATATTATATCTTCTCCTGTGAGTTTCTGCTTTGTAATATCTTTCATCTTATGTGATTTGCTTCATTACCTAATATACAAAATAGGAAAGAACACATTTAACACACAGTACACACACATTACATATATATATATATATATATATATATATATAATTATTTATTTAAAAATATGATTCAATTCGCGACATAAGAGGTCTCATGTTTCAAAACAAGAGCCGAAAACTTCAATATAATTATTTGAATTAAATTGAGTTAAAATAAGCTCTGTTCCATCATCAAGCGAAATTTTTTTTGAATAACGTATTTCTGAAATTTACGTGTTTTAATAATTGAAATCAAAATTTCCATGGTAACAGCTAGGGCGAATTGTTTAAATTGGGTAGGCGTGTGTTGGGTGTTAATAATAAGTATCAGTATAGAGTTACTTTCATAGATGTCAAGTCAGGGAAAGGTGCGGGTGTCTAAATTTGAAACGGAAGATGTTTTAACCCTAGTCTAGTTTGCATGTTATGGAGATTTATTTATTTTTATTTTTTTTTTTTATGAAAGGGATTTGTGCATATATAAAAAAAACAAAAAAAACTGTCGTAAGGTTTGTTTTTTGACGACTTCATAAAGGGTTATCTTTTTTGTAGGGTATTTAAACTATTTATTTAGGCTATGGATTAAACAAGTTATTGTATTGTATGCTTATTTTTTAGCTAATAATTCAAACCAAAAATCTGATGATGTCGAAAAAAAAACCGTTAACTCATGTCTATTGTTTAATAGATTATTATTATTTAGAAACTTAATAATGTGCAATTTCTCATGGAGGCACAAAGGGCATGGGTCATCCCAAGTTTTACATGTTCTAGCCTTGTTTATAATTTTCCATTTTACTTTTAGGTGTCCTATTTGTTTCCTTCAGATATAAAAAAATATTTAGATAGGGAAGTTTGATTATTTTTATTTATATTAAAAAAAGAGCACTTATGCTGCCTCCATCTATCTAAAAAATCATTAAAATATGGACCCAATGTATATCATATTATTGCTAGGACTATCAGTGGATGATATAGTACATTTATATACCACATAAATTTATATGCAGCATTTGTTTTTCTAATGGGCAGTCTTTAGGTTTCCATTTTACATAATTTTTTCCTTTTATTGTCTGATTTAAGTGCAGGGTTTTATTAATACTGTTTAGGCATAAATATTTTCAAAACATACACAAAACACACACACACACTTTTATATATATATATATATATATATATATATATATATATATATATATAATATATATATATTACGTAATTATTTTATCTCGAAAATTTCGGTTTCTTGATTCAATGAATCAAATCAACCGTAAATTAAAAAAGGTTTAGTTTAATATAAATATAATATATAGGATACATGAACGTGAAAATAAAAATAATCATACAAACATACAGGTCCAAAAAAAACGATACGAGTAAATGTTTTAACTAAAAAAAGATTTATAAGTGAAACCTTTTTTGGTTTGTATTTTAAATTAGTTTGATATAATATATTATATATATATATATATATATATATATATATATATATATATATATATATATATATCCAAACAGGTAAATAAATTTATGTATTTAGTTCCATAGGCGAGATTTCAAAAAAAAAACTGCAAGAATATAAAACAACATTAAAAAATATCTAACAATTTCAACAAGAAAAAAAGCAATGAGACCTAATAGCAAACAAAAAGTAAACGAAAGAAAATTCAAACGGTCGAAAAACGAATGGAAAAAGCTCATTAAAAAATTGCCAATAAAAAATTTAAAAAAAAATAAATATGAATATATCAGAGCGTTATAAATGATTCGAGATGCCATGGTTTAGGACCGATAACGTTTTAACCATTCTTTGGTTTTGTCGATAATTCGATATAACAAACCCATACCATATTTGATTCAAAAATTAAAAAACGGACGATATACAATTATAAATGATAAATTGATCCTGTGAAAAGAATTGTTTCACATGACAAAACAAAACAACCTTCACAATAAAGCTTAAATTGATACAATATAATCATATTGATTCATCTCAGAAGAGTTTTTCACCTGGAATTTGAAAGCATCATCAATACTGATTGAAAATAAAAATTTTCTCTATGATAAAACTTATTAAATTATGAACTTTTTTTTCGTTTTGGAAAGTTATAAATTGACATTACCATTTTTGCCCCAATTACTAAATTTTATTTGACATTCAAAAAAAATTTTGCATATCAAACATTGTTAGATATATGCTTATTAGTAGCATAAATTTTAATTTGTTAATTTACAAAAAAATCTTATTACAATATTTACTCAATAGTACAAACCATTTTATAACGATTTTATAAGCGTATATCAGATATATATAGGTTGAAATTATGATGCACCCAATGAGGATCATACTCATATTTATATATTCATAATGTTTATATTATATTTTACAATAATATTACATTTTTTTTTACATTGCGCCATTTTATAAACATGTTTTGTGTTTTTACACATTTTATATATATATATATATATATATATATATATATATATATATATATATATATATATATATATATATATATATATATATATATATATATATATATATATATATATAATTTACTAAGTTTGTGTGTGTGTGTGTTTTTGTATGTGTGTGAATATAATTCAGATGTAAATAAAATATATCTTGACTAAAATTTGGAAAAATTTGAAAAGCAAAATAACCTTAAACAACAAAATAGTTTCGAAAAGTCAATTAATAAATTTAAAAATTTATAGGATTAAATTAAATGTTTAAAATTTAAAAAATCTTATATTTATATATATATATATATATATATATATATATATATATATATATATATATATATATATATATAAAGAAATAATCAAAACATAGAATCAATCAGGTTTATTAATGCGATTATTGGCGACATCCATCGCTAGAAACATAATATATGCATTAAAATACTGTTAATCCATAGTGAAAGTGACAAATCGTCGATAAACTTGATGTCTGTAGTTTTTTCAGTTTATTTGATGTTAAAATGCTAGTCTTTTACGAATAGTCTTCTATTCATCATCAGGCATGTGTTTTTTCCTTATAAAAAAAAAAACTTGAAGACGAAATATCTGTATGTCGACCGAAAGATGTTTTTTGAATATCTGCTATTATTGACGGTTGTGTAAGATCTCGGAACGTGCAAAGACGCAACGCTAAGTTTTTCAAAAATTTTAAGTGAGAATTTTATTTAAATATTTCTTGTGATGTGTTAAATATATATATATATATATATATATATATATATATATATATATATATATATATATATTTATGGATGGATGGATTAATGGATGGATTTATGTAATCAATGTAAGTTAATTTTTAATAGGTATATTTGTTATTACTTTTAAAAAAGTATCTGATTAAGTGAATGTTTTTTTTTTTAAACAGGATTTATTTCTGCAACCGACCTGCGCATTCTAGAAATCTTAAAAGATGTGCCTGAAAAAGGATTCTATCTTTAGGTATTATTTTTTGCAAACAGGTAGACAAAATAACTATTATTTAAAAAAAGCAAAAAAGACAATCGACTACTCAAATACAGGTATCCCGATTAAAATTAAAATAAACAAATAAATATATAAGATAAAAAGATGAAATGTAAGAAAAAAATAAAATAAATAAAAACAAGCAAAAATGCCCAAAGAAAATAATAAATAAATATAAAAACAAATAAATGATTCCTGTAAAACAAATGCCAAAATAAATTACAGACATTTTTTTTGACCCGTATATAAAAAATTTTTTGAAAAAAATCAACACTTTATGGGATACGATTAATCTAGGAATGAAACAGACTTTCGCCTCTAAGTTTGACTTCAATATTCACTTTTATCGGACAACATTCTATCTCTGATAAATTATATTTATCCATGAAAAAATATTCTATATTATTAAATATAGCACAATATACTATATGGTAATAAATATATATATATAAATATATATTATATATTATTATTATTATTATAATTATACTATTTTTAGATTTTTTAAGATTCAAATTAATTTATTTATTATATATTGAAATAACAGGAGGTTTAGAATTTTTTATCACATACTTTTAATTTTTGTTCAAATTATAGTCATTTAATTATATATATATATATATATATATATATATATATATATATATATATATATATATATATATATGTGTATATAATTGTAATGATGAATAAATTATCGTCTAAATTATAAAAAAATGAAAATAACATTGAATCTCATTTTAATTAAATATATATACCAAATTAAACAATATTATCTTAAAATACTAAAGAGTAAATTTATTCAATAAAATCGCCATTGGCTTCAATCACTACCTCCAGACGACTTCGGAATCACTTGCAACTCTTATGGACGGTCTCCTTGTTTAGTGTAATTATTATTTACATTACTTAACTTTCAGATTAATTTATGAATTATGTGTTTTAAATGTTTAAATTTAATGTCAAAATGTTAAACTTATTTTAATTTTCTCCGAGTTTCGTGAAAAAAAAAAATTTATTTTCAGAGAATATATTTTTTTTTTCAAAAACTTTTATTTTATGATGTAAACAGATTTTTTTTTATTCATCGATTGATGCGTTTTTTGCCGCTTATCAACACATTACAGGGTATTTCAAGCGAGAAAATATTTTAAGATGGGACGAAGTTTTTTTTTTCGTGGTGGTGAGAGGAATAATGATTTAGTGATACAAATTTTATTAATTATTGTTAAACAGTTGGGGGAGAAGTGGTTTTAAAAATAAATTT